GGAAATAGGGAATCAAGTAGTACCACTCACGTTGTGAGACATCAAGTAATTATATCATATTCATTTTGAAAGAAATAAATCCAGTGTTCCCCCACGTATTGTAAATAAAATATAAAAAAATAAATATATGTTAACGTATTGTAAAATGATAAATCAAAGTAAAAATTCCCGTAAAATATTATTGTTTATATCGTGTGTGTCTAGTTAATCGAGGTGCGACCGATTGAACAAAAATAGTAATACACGACAAAAAGCAGACGAAATTGTTTTCTAACGAAGATTTCTAACGTAACGAAAAAATAACAATTAAAATGATTGGGGCTTCGGAAGTCATTGTCAAAAATTGGCTTCATACATAAAACCCAACTAAATGTCTACATCACATTCACAAACTATCACAAATACTTGTGGCAGTGCTAAAAAATCTAAGAATGGAATCTAATCATATGTGTTATGAACTAAAGTAATATCTTGTTATTTAGGTGTTTTATGTTGAAACTGAAAAACTGCTAATCAATTTTTAAATTTGCTAATCAAATTTGCAAAATTGGACTTTTTGATTAGCAGTGCTGCTAATCAACCGTGAAAAATTACCGACAGCCCTGTATGTAGGCTACTTAAAGAGAGCAAAGAGTATACATGAACATGCTTTTCACTGATATGTAACACGATATCGTGAATATCGTATTATGACCCGTATTTTGACATTGCATACCCTCCCCCTGTCCGTAATCATGGTAATATAGTTAAGTAACATACAAATTTGATCATTTTTTCAAGGTATGTAAATTTCTTATAGTGTGCCAGGTTGATTTCCCCATATCGCGTGCTGGTTTATAGTGTGCTAGGTTGATCTCGGCCTCGTTTCTGTATATGTTAATAAGTCACGTGATATCCTATATTTGCATATTATAGTTAGTGCTCTGCGTAAGATCATTACCAGTTTTAGGACATTGTACATTGTACTTTTTACATATAATCAATGAAAAAGACATTTTAGCATAGCATTTAATATTGGCAGCGATACCCTTCCATAGGTTTTTCACTTCAGGTGAAAAATAAAACTTCTATAGTGCCATAAAAATATTTTATAACAACTAGATATAACATTGGAATTGGTGAAAACAGGCATATTCCTTTGAATGAGGTAAACCACAAGTAGATATTTTTAAATCATCAGACCATAATAATGCATCTATATAATAGAGTAATAACATTTAATATCAAAGGGAATAATGCTGGAAGTAGATATGGAGGTGATAATTGCTCAATGTTGAATATCAATAGACTTCTTCATTTCAATAAGACAGTTCAACAAATACCATTTCAAAAAGATATATGGTTTATCATTAAATTGTTGCCCTTGTATTTTCCTAAAAACAAATCAAACAACAAGAGAGACGGATTGACAGACGATGCGGGCATACAAAAATTTAATTTTGTTTTTGAAAACATAGGTCACAGTAAAATGAAACTATGACATTCAGAACCCACACCATCCCCCTTCCCTGGTCATTCACCATTTGAATCATTTTAAGAAGTGCACAAAAAACAGGCTAGAGTAACAGATCAATGCGTATTATACATTTCTTAAAATCAATAATCTACAAGCTAAGATGACCTTTTATTTTACAACAATAACTTGATCAGGATTATAATGTAATTAATTAGTGTATCATTATAAGATAACATATTTTGATTAAAATACTGACATTTTTTTCGTAATCCTAATATCAGGAATTATTCTCAGCTTTATTATTCACTGCCCTACATCAATCTTCTAAGTTGACATAGTTTTTTGTTCTGTCTGCTGGTTATTTAATTTTTTTGTTTGGGGATTATTACTGATTACCTATAAGCTTAGACATTTTATAGGCTTCACCATTTTATTAACTTACATCATTTTATGTGATTTTTAATTTTTTTAAAAAATTAACAAAAATATCTGCATGAAACTTTACTACTTTGTAAATTGTTAGTTTATTCTCCTGTGTTAAATATTTAATTATAAAATAAAAATATTGATAAATGTCCATATATGAATGACATGACTTAACAAATGAAATGAAATGGGGTTATGTTCTACTTTTTTCTACACCAACTGGACTGTGCAAATTCTTATTTCAAATTACAACTGTCAACTTTTTGTGCAAGCCAATGTGTACTGATCTTGTGTCCCCAGTTTTTCGTACCATCCAAACAACTGGTACAGGCCTATATTAAATGCATTTACTTTTGTATTCTATTCTCTTAAGGCCTATGAATTCATTTATTTTTCTATAAAATTCTAATTTTTGTTCTGGTCTATAAATGCATTAATTTTTGTATTCATTCAGGTCTCTGAATGTATTTATTTTTGTACAATATTGTATCATAGAAGTGATAAATAAAAATTGTTGAAATTCAATAGACTTCTACATTTCTCTAATTGTATAATGAATACAAATTACAAACAGATCTGGTGTTAACTTTTCCTAAAATTCTACAAAGTAAGCAAGGGCACTAAGTCTAGAAATAATTCATGGAAATTGATTGAAATCTAATGGGCCTCTTTATTTCATTAATTTGAAGTTGAATTTTGAACAATGCATATATTTCAGGCAGACCACTAAAGCATTCACACGATTCTACAAAGTAAACAAGAGCACTAAGCAAGTTTTGAGAATTTAATGCTTTATAAATATATTATTATCGTTGAAATTTCAAAGGCTTCTTTGGTTTGACTGATCTGATAAAGCATATTGTGCAGTTACTTCTGTCTCTATAGCCATAACTCAATAAATAATTAAATCAAATTGGTGAAATTTGATAGGCTTCTACATGACAATAATTTGAATAATGCTTAGAAATTTCAAACAAATAACACTGTAACATTGGTACCGTTTAATCTAGCATAAATAGCGTTTATTTCTACTCTGTGTCCAATTATTCATAAATATTGTTGAATTTCGGCAAATGGTGCTCAATTTGTACTTCTATCGAATTTCAATCTCACTGTTTAATTTTGATTACCAAGCGTCTAATTAACTAGTGTTTAGTTTCTCGACACGTGTTGAATTATAAGCGTCCCATCTAATTAGCACGACTGTTCTGTTGCGATACGGTGAAATATTATTTTTCAGGATTCATACGACGGCAGATATCTGTAATGCCTGTCATTATCCGGGGATTATTTTTCAAGACCACTACGGTGAAATAGATGTTAGGTTTTTAATGGCGACGGGACGGTTCCGAAGCAAAGCTTTCTTGAGATGCACATACCGTTTCGTCCACATTCATAAAACGTGTATTTATATATCCATTTAAAACAGTATTTCCCACACTGACAACACATCCACGAATGATTTACGTGTGTACACGTCCACTCCCTACCCTGATTAAATCCTTTTGTTTAAATGTCTTCGCAATTAAGACTAACAGCATGGGTATTGCACTAATCATATATTACATAATATGGGATCTATAGAAAGCGTTTTGGGTTGAAGGGTAGTGCGATCATCTCGGGCAATAAACACAGAAGGCTTGTAGAATTAATACACATGTGTCAGAAGCTAACAATATGTCTATTGTGTAAGACAAAACGTGAAAATAAACTAATAATTCAAACTCTTTATTTCTTTTTATTATTATAGAACAACGACCCTTTTTCGCTGTAGATCAAATAAAACCTACTAAATACATTTCATGCTTATATGTAAAGCTGCATGTCTAGAACATTTTAAAGGATGCGTATGCATAAGACTATACATGTATTACACAGTTTAGATATTTATGCTGTGTTCAAATTGTTTTGCATATTTACTGTATTAAGAGTGTATAGTTAATAATAACTCTTGAATTACGGCAAAGATAGACTTTTAAATTGCAAACTATAAAGGTATTTTGGTTATTGGTCTTACAAATAGAAATAAGACATAAATAGAACTTGCAACGGGATTTGAAAGTGCTTTCAAGTCAGACGTAAGCTTGTACTTACTGTAAAAATAAACTGAACGCATCACAAGTCTCCAATGAATTATGAATAATTGGACACAGAGTAGAAATTAACGCTATTTACGCTAGATTAAACGGTACCAATGTAACAAATGAGAAATGAAATGGAGTTTAACGTCCTACTGTTCTGCTCCTAACCTGGGATAATGAAGACGGGCATACGCCATACAGTGTGCTATGAGGGAAATTTTGCCCGGACAGCGGCACTACAGCCTACTCTTATATCGAATTCCAACTGCCAAGTGATCTTTTACGTGCACGCCAATGTGTACACGGGACCTCGGTTTTTCGTCCCATCCGAACGACTAGACAGCTTTCCATGTCAGCCCCTCCGTCCTGCATCACTGACAAGGGAGAACCACGCCGGAAAATCTGGATGAACTTTCTCGGCCAATGCAGGGATCGAACACCCGACCTCCAGGCTAGCAAGCTAGCGTCTTACCCACTTGGCCACGTGACCCAATGTAACAGTGTAATGACCTAATTAGTAATGCACTCATAATAAACTGAACCCATGAATAAAATAGATCAACACAAATGTCATTCGAAGTGTAAGGGGAAGAACTCTTTTTATTATTAACCAAACTCGACTCAAGAATAGAAATCAGGACAACCCACTAAAACCTGTCAGAAAATGTAAATTCAAACATACTTCTTTGATTCTAGACCAAAAGTCAACTAAAATAGCCATGCAAAAGGGGGAAAGGGAGAATTGCTACAAATAGACGAACTACATTCATGCGTACCAAGATAAATTGAAAGAATTTTATAGATTTAGTCCTAACCATAACTGTAGCATTGTCACATGGTATCAGAAAATCTAATTAATGAACATGATAATGACAGATATTTCATTATTCTGAAAAGTTTGTGTTAATATAATTTGAAAACTTGTTTATCTATTTTATTACTTTTAAATTAACTACTACTTTAGCATGTTTAACAATACTTAAGAGATTACTTATCCTACATAAATTCAGTTTTATTATTAAGATATTTCTACTTACAGAATGTTAAGTTGCATTTGTCGTCTGATTAAAGCATTTCTTTTATTGACTAGCATAAACCATTCCTGCATTAAATGTTCCTCTAAAGCTTTATTTTTACCTAAAAATACAATTATTATTAACACATTTATATATGTAAATATAGACAGATGATTAATTATAATATGTTAGAAATGATTAACCGTAAAAATGGATAAACAACAACGGTAACAATGACAATCGATGCTACAGTGTTATTAAAATGAGTGATGTAATTTGACTGAAATTTTCAGCGTATTCCCTTTACATTATCTATTTTTTAACTATTAAAGCGGCAACTGTCAGCTCTTTATCTAATCTTCCTGTCGATTTAAGATATTATTAATGAAAACTGACAGTTCACATTAGCTTCATCCCAAATCCCAATCTGTAGTCTTCTTTTAATTATCTATTGTGCTAAGGGAAATAACACATTCAGTTTCACATAGTAGTGCACTTTAAATACAAGATATACATTCACCTTTGTTCATTACCCTCCTTAATTGTTTTTCTAATTTAGAAGCTTGTTCGTCAATCTGGTATTGCTCTGTTTCTAAAGCTTCCATCTCAGAGCGGACATACTGATTAGTATCACGAAGATCTTCATCAGATGTAACCTGTAGACCAATATCTGATCCATCAGAATCATCTTGTTCACCATCACTACCTAAACTACCATCATTACAACTACCTATATAATACAAAATATATACATAAACAAATATACAAAGAAATATTAAATGTAGAAAAAAAAGATCCACTATTTGAACATAATTCTATTTCATTTTTGCTTTTTGAACAAAAAATATTTGAAGTCAGTGAGAGAGAGAAAAATGGGGTTTAACGTCCACTCGACACAAACTAGGTCATTTCGGGACTAACACATGGTTCACTTTTATTTCAATAATTCGCTTGCGCGTAGGGTCTTTAGCAGTGGGAGGAAACCAGAGGACTCGGAGAAAACCCAAGAGGTTGGACAGGCGACTTTGAAGTCAGTATGAAATGACATAGTGAAATGGTTTTGAAAAAGTCAAATGCAAAAACTGCTTTGCCTTATTTTGAAAACTTGTGCTTCATTAAACAGTCAATAAGGAAAAGCATTATTGGTACCTATAGTAGTTCTGCATAATTTGAAAGCAACAATTTATATTCAAAAGGATACATTTTCAGGACAACTTTTAACAGTTTTATAGGTGAGAATACTGTAGAGAGTTACACAGGTGTTATAAAACACTCACAAAAGTTTAATATCACAGTTAAGTTGAAAAAGATAAATCATTCTGTTTTGGAAAAAAAACCCAAGAATTTATTTGATTGGAGCACTTACCTGAGTCTGGAGAAACTAATTTATTGTCAACATTCTCTCTTAAATTATCATCTAAACTTCTACTTCTCTACAAAATTAAACAACATAATACATGTCACATCCATCTTTGCCACATATGTTTTCATAAGAGAGGACAGTATGAAGCTTGACTCCTGTTATAAAATTATATCATTTAGCTTTAAACCATGGGTTCCACATCGGCCGTATATGCCGGTCGAGACCTGCGGCTATGGCAAATGACCGTTCCTGGATCTGACCTAACGGTCATTTTGCACGCCGGAAAGAGAGTTTTTTTTCTCCAAAACCCACTTTTCAAACATGGCTACGACCGACCTCCACTATGTAACTATACAAGAATGCACACGTATAGAAGCCAATCTCGTGATTGGTGTTATAGAGTTGTATAAATACAATAGTCGTCAACAGATTATACTGAGTGGTGTGTTGATAATTAATGATGAGTGTCTGGTAGAGAACAATAAAAGTTAATTGATAAGTGGGAATCTAATCAACGGCGTGAAGCGGTCCATTGTTAATCATTCACGTATTGTCCACGTGTCAGAAACATTTTCAACATCAAAACCGTTTACCGCTATTACGGTCAGGCACGATGTAAACGAGGTTATTATGAGCTTCGAAAAAAGGCAATTGATATAAAATACTGCTCTTCGCATCCAACCAACTGTCATATAAAATAAAAACAGCATAGAAATTACGGAAGTCCTCAACAACGTACATGTACGTGTTGGGAGAAAAATGCATTTATAAATTTTTATAGCGGCATTATGGCCTTGTGGAAATTGTAGAAATAAAATCTAGAGAATAGTTAACTTGCTTACCGAAAAATTAAGAAAATTACGTATTCCAGTTCTATTGTGCAGCGATATTGATAATTCCATGTGTAGAAAATATGTTGTGTATATACGGTTACTCTTACACAAGACGATATTCTAGGGGGCGCTAGTGTTGTTAGCTGGGAAGTTAGTTATCCGTTAGTCATTTAGTTATACATTATTAGGATTTACGTCACAATTCTGCGACCCGTAATTCCGTAAGATATGGTCTTAAAACCAATAAATGTGAGAAATATACCGTGGATAATTATATATTTATCTTCATATCGAAGTTATTGTGTTACAACTCAAAATTATCCAGGTCAGTGTATTTACTATGGAGCACGTGGTAATTACGTGTGAGCTACTGAAATGGTTTTTCTACGGCCAATTCATCTATTTCGTTATTTAAGTAGCCAAAATGGAATATTTAATTAATTAATAATTAATTATCATAAGCCTTACTAATATTTCATTTTTAAGTCAAATATATTTTTTTTTGTGTACCCCATGGTGACAAAGTGGTATAGACACGTGAATTCACAATACCATACCATGAATAAAAAACATGAAATATGAATTTACTTTGAAAAGTTTTCGTGCGTTATCAAAAATGACCGGTAGTGAAAATTTTGAAGTGGAAGCCCTGCTTTAAACTAACATCAACACTTTTTCAAGTCACTAAACTGTAAATATATGCGACTTGATAGTATTATTTTTTACAACTCAGAATAATAAGGATAGTATATGATTGAAACCAAAATATGAAATAGCAAAATGCTAAGCGCTTATATCAGAATTCATTAATAATCTGTAAATCTGTGGGTAATAGCAAACTGAAATTGGCTATTTCTTGGCAATGGTTCTGGTTAGAAATTATTTTGTGATACTGAAATTTGGCGAAGATATTCCAAAAATCAAAAATATATGCAATAACCAAAGAATACAATAATATTTGACCTTTGTATGTCCAAATTAAGGCAATATTTTTTAACCAGCGGTTGCCAGGTAAGTTCGCCCACATTTTCCAAGAGATCGATAGAGACCAAGCTAAAAAAAAAAAAAAACGTTTAGGGGCCATAATCAAGGAAGTTACAGTCCAATATGCGCAAATATTGAAAGGAACCAAGATTGTTGGGTTACAAACATATATTTCATCAAGTTTTATCAAAATCGGATAAAAATTGTGACCTCTAGTGTCCACAATTTAAAAACGTGATTTTTGGTATAATTAGGGGCCATAATTCATGAAGTTAAAATCAGATACATGTCAATATCGAAAGGAACCAAGATCTTTGGGACATAAACCTATATTTCAAGTTTCGTCAAAATCTGATAAAAATTGTGACTTGTAGAGTGTCCACAAACAAATTGTGTACGGATAGGGGCAACGACAATATACGTCCATGTAAATTCAGTGATTTTGGGCATTTCATGACGTCCAAAAATGTTCCTAATAACGACTATCCTCTAAGTTACAAACACTTTCGCCAGAACCCTACAGACAACGAAATGATCCTATGGGTACTTACAGAGATACGAAAAATGGAAATAGAAATAATAATAATCCTTACAAACACAATATTGTTTCACACAAACTACAAAGTGTGAAACCCCTAAAATTCCACAAATAGGTAAATAAGAGAAACACTCACTCTTGGTAAATTATCTGAACTTTTTGTTGATTCTGTATTTACATCTTCTAGGTTTATAGATATATTTGGTTTGACTAGTTTTAATTTCTTTAATACAACTTCAGATGAAACAGGTGGTGTTACATCGGTCTCCTCACTTTCGTTCTTCTCTGAAACAAATCAAAACTAATTGCTTTTTAAATATATTTTGAAATAGGAAGCTGAAATATTAAATCTAGCTTCGTTTGTAACACACATAGATTTATATTATGTAAAATTGTGTTGCAGCTTTTAATTCTATACATACCTTTTATACATTAAATTTCTTATTCGAGAATTTCAGTATTGAAAATATTTTTCTAGGGTTTTAATTATTTTAAGGAGATGGTATTGGATGAAGAGATGAAATGAAATGGGGTTTAAAGTCCTACTGTTTTGCTCCGACTGGGCTAATGAAGTTAGGTTGGGGGAAGAGGGGATAACAACAGTTAATATAATATATTATGTAGAATGCAATACTTGGCTTTTGATAATTAATCAAGAGCCTAATATTCATCTATACCATTAACAATAAACAGAACAATATACATTCAGAATGCTATATATTAATATTAATATATGTCATTCATAAACAATTCTATTAGTATTATATAATATTATTTATACATTCAAAGTTAGTTATATTAATCCAATACTATTCACAGTCTTTTCATAATATATATATATATATATATATATATACATATATATATATATATTAGCTTTATTCAAGTACATGTAATTTGTAAATTAAACAATAAAGGTTATATATATATTTTTTAGTTTTTTCAAGTACTTGTAATTTGTAAATTAAACAATAAAGGTTATATATCTAAGAGTTTGGTTGCAAAAGCAAGATAACCTAACTATTTCTTCCAGTTCTGAAAATTCAGATATTTATACATATATAAAAACAATCAAGATCTAATATCACAAATGGAAGAAAAACATGAAAAATGTAAAGCAAAGTGTATCCTGGCTTCAAAAGTGCATACTTATCTCAATCACATGTATTACATCAAATAATAAATTCTAAATTGTTTGGTATCTGAAGAGGATAATTTGTTTCACAAATAAACTGTTAATGATTGTAGTTATAAAAATAATGAAGATGACATAAAAGAAGCTGATATATAACGAGGGTTATAATAAAATTATATGTTGTTTTACTACATACCCCTGTAGAATGTTTTTCTTGTGATAATTCTATATGATTTGGTTGGAACTGCCATGCATACAGACAAATGAACACATTTAATACTTATTGAAAATTTACCACTAAATAACAATATGCTACATAATGAAATCAATTTAAATTGAAATGAAATCTGTGTAAGCACTATGAATTAGTTATGTGCATTGTGTCTTTAGTATGAAGTGTTGATGGACCTTCCTTAATATTATAAATTTTCTAACATAGCACATAACAGCCTTAATGTGAAGATCCAACATCTGACGATCAACTATAGCTACCTGCCATTATTTGTGAATTAAATAAGCCTATGGATCTAACTAAAAGTGCATTTACAATCTGTGCATGAAAATAAAATGTGTTTTTCCCCAACAAGCTGAATTAAAAAAACTAAATATTAAAAATTTGTCTAATTTACCTTTCTCAAACGATACAGGTCTGTTAGACATTATAATCTCTGTTTCCGGTTGACCTATACCAGCTCTAGCTTCTGCTATCAATTGACGAGCTCGTTCACGTAAATGTTTCTGTCTTTCTTCATTCTAATAGAATATAACATTAACATAAATACCATTAAATGTACGTAAAGATGCAACAAAAAAATGTACATGTATCAAGCATATACTATTTGTTTAATTGATATATTTAAATCTACCAGTAGACCGAATATTAGTTTAAACTGATTAGGATTCCTAAATAAATCCCATCCCCCCCCCACCCCAGACCACCTCACGTCCTGAAATTAAACAGCAATCACTGTGTAAATGTTTAAAAGAAAAATACAGCAAATTCTAAAATCAGCATTAACAGTTAAAACTATATGTACTACAGCAACAATTTATGCTACTACGGTACATGTAATTATAACCATATAGTGAAACTATAATCTATATCACTATAGCTCCTTTTTTTTACATTAATATTATTTCTATATTGTGCAGAAAATAAAACTAAAAAAAATAAGAAAGAGGGGTGACAGTTTCTACAAATAACTCATATGGTTGTGAACGTCCACACAATAAATCGTGATGGAAGAGTAAAATGGTAAAATAAGTAATACCAGTACCCTTGATTTACAATTAATTATAAAAGAAAGCAACTAAAAGCATAATATTGCACCCAGCTGAAGTAAAAATTGTCCAGTTTACCTTGCCAAGCCATCACCTACCACAAGATATTCTTCTATGAAATGAAAAGTTTCTGATAAAATTTCATATTAAAATAGCCAAAGAAATTTAACATTCATGCCCATATAAAGCAACATACGATATTAGCTGCATCCTGCACCTTGGTTTCGATTGGCTGTTTTTCATTGTCTGCAGACTGGCATCTAACCAGTGTATCTCTTCTTGCTTGTTCCAGTAACAAACGCGCTCGTTCTTTCAATTCCATTTGACGTGGTTTGGCCTGAGACTGGCATAAAGGGCAAAAAATAAAATTCAACCAAAGTGATAAGAAAGAATAAATTGACAAAAGTTTTCCTCTTTTTTGTTTGTCCTTCCAGTTTTTACAACATAAGCTCATAAACAGTGAAATTTATATAAAAATAAGAAAAAAAGAACAGCTGCCAGGCAGGATACGCCCACATTTTGCAAGAGATGGATAGAGAACAAGCTAAACAAAGATAGGTTGCCAGGCAACGAAACACGCACACGGCAGCTATATCGTCCGGGCAGTCAACAAGAGTTGTCGCATATTTTTACTTTTTTCGGTAATGAAACATTTATAATACATTAAAATCTGATTAAGAGTAACAACTCATTAAGTAATTATCAGAAAACCATTAGATTTTGTTTGATTTTTATAAAGTTCTGCCCCATGCTAATGTTTAGTATACGAAAGTTTTAATTTAGCTGTTCAAGTCATAAAGATTCATTGAAAATCAATATACTTGTTGGTCTCAAAACCTTAAACTCTGTGTATCAATCTGAAGTCAATTGGATGATAACTTTAGCCTCTAGAGCGTCACAAGATTTTTCTAAGTGATCAAGGGCCATAACTTTGGCAGTAATTATCCGAAATCGTTGAAAATCAATATGATTCTTCATCTCATAGCCTCAAACACTGTGTATAAATTTAATTATCGGAAATCGCTAAAAATCAATAGGATTCCTCACCTCATGACCTTAAACACTGTGTATCTTGCAAAAAGTATCGGAAATTGCTGAAAATCGAATAGGATTCCTCATCTCATGACCTTAAACACTGTGTATCAATTTAAAGTCAATCGGATATTAACTTTAACCTCTAGAGCATCCAAAAGATTTTTCAAAGTGCTTAAAATCAATATGATTCTTCATCTCATGGCCTCAAACACTGAGTTTATAAATTTAAAGTCAATCAGATATTAACTTTAGCCTCTAGAGCGTGATCAAGGGTCATAACTCTGGCAGTAATTATCGAAAATCATTGAAAATCAATAGGCTTCTTCGTCTCATGACCTTAAACACTGTGAAGTCAATCGGATATTAACTTTAGCCTATAGAGCGTCCACAAGCAATTGTGGACGCCGGACCGAAGGACAGACCGACTGGGGCGACAACAATATACGACCACATTTCAATGTGGGCGTATAAAAGCGATTTTTCGTACAATCAGGGGCCATAATTCAGGAAGTTACGATCCGATATGCGCAAATATCAAAAGGAACTGAAATCTTTGGGTTATAAACTTACATTTCAAGTTTCATCAAAATCAGAAGAAAATTGTGACCTCTAGAGGGTCCACAACCTTGATATACCATATTTTTACGCTAATTGAGAACGAGGGCCATCATTTTCTCCGTCAGTTTTGGGCCAATTTTCACAAAATTCAAACTCAACCATCCTTAGGGTGTAACGGTGACATACAATCAGCGGCTGCCAGGCAGGATCCGCCCACATTTTCGAGAGATGGATAGAGAACAAGCTAAAAAGAAAGTGATTTTTTCCTACAATCAAGGGCCATAATTCAGGAAATCACAATTCGATATGCGCAAATATGGAAAGGAACCGAGATCTTTGTGTTATAAACTTACATTTCAAGTTTCAACAAAATTGGATAAAAATTGTGACCTCCATAGGATCCACAACCCTGATATACCATATTTTTACGCTATTGGCCATTTTGCTTGTCAGTTTTGGGCCGATTTTCACGAAATTCGATCTCAGCCGTCCTTAGGGTGTAACGGTGATATAATAATACGTTTTTTTAAATCAGATAAAAATTATAACCTCTATAGGGTCCACAAGCTAAAAACGCGATATTTTGTACAATCGGGGGCCATAATTCAGGAAGCTACGATCCAATATGCGCGAATATCGAAAGGAACCAAGATCTTTGGGTTATAAACATGCATTTCAAGTTTCATCAAAATCGGATCAAAATTGTGACCTCTAGAGTGTCCACAAGCTAAAAACGTGATTATTCGTACAATCAGGGGCCATAATCCATGAAGTTATGGTCCGATACATGCCAATATCGAAAGGAACCGAGATCTTAGGGAGATAAAGCTATATTTCAAGTTTCGTTAAAATCAGATAAAAATTGTGACCTGTAGAGTGTCCACAAACAAATTGTGGACGGACGGACGGACAAACAGTGGCGACGACAATATACGTCCACATAAAAATGTGGGCGTATAAAAACGTTTTTTTAAATCAGATAAGAATTACGACCTTTATAGGGTCCAATACTACCCAATACCACTCCAATATCACCACATACTACCCAATACTACAACATAATGGTGCCAAATGAGCATATTACTTGATCTTTTTCAAAAGTAGTGAGATATATCGTGAGAAATGTACTTCAAATGTGATCTCTGATGTTTGGCTGTTCCATTTGCCTCCCTATATCACCCTAATCAAGCAAATAATAACCCAATACTACCAAATACTACCCAATATTATAAAATACAAACCTAATATCGTCAATTAGCAGCGCATCAGTATAATAATTGCAACGAATATTCAATAATTTACAGAAAATTGAAATATTTACGCAGTTATCTCCCTTTACAACTAACAAATACATTTTAGATTGCTACTCAATTCAATCATCTTGTTGGGCTTTGCAGTTTGTTTCCAAGACGACGAAGTTAAAATAAGGAAAACAGGTTATCATAGATGCCTCTGCTATAGTGTTATAAAATAAACAGCCAAACATCCAAATAAAAGAGTATTTTAGAGGTTGATTTAAAAATGTTCATTTAACGGTCTCGTGATCTATTTAAATGTCTATAATTGTACTATAATTATTTCTTCATCCTGGTGATTTTAGTATGATAACACGCTGTCTACAAGTGCACTCGGTCCTGTAAAAAATCATTTGGGTATAATATTTCAGGAAAGCACACAAATTTGTCTTTATATCTGTCTTTTAATGACTTATTAACGCGCCGTCTTTGACTTTTAAATGATTCCGTTTCCATACCAGGCACCTTTGAAAAAAACCCTCTTGTCAAAATTTCACAGATTCTTCGAATATTGTCACTATTGAACAAATTCTTAGTATTCTAAGGTATATACCCACAGGTGACGATGTCGCGGCGATGTCATTATCACCTAAATGAATAGACACGGTCTCCAGTTTTCTCCCACAATGTGTAATGCTCTACTGGTTTATATATATACATTCAACCTGACTTAACAATTAATCAATGGGGTTAAGATTGTTGATTGGGTAATCAAGTTCTGTTTTATTTATATTATCAAAGAAACCGACAGGGCTGTAACAGGTCGCATATGATAGTTTTGAGGAACTGAGATGTGTCGGGTCGAGAATTACACACTGGAAAGAGACATGTGCAATTTCGTTAATTTTAAAATAAAACATCGTGCAGTCAGTAAATGCGCAATAACTTAATAGTTGACATGAAAAAATGAATATAAACATTATGCAATTGTTTTGTTAAAGCATTAATTTCAAAATAGATACAAACAATCAATACTAACTAGGTAATTTCGGGACTAACATATAGTTCAAATATATTTCATTAACTCGCTGTAGCATAGGGATGTTTAACAGTGAGATTAAACCGGGGGACCCGAGAAAACACGCCTTGTTTGACAGACAACCCTATCAAGTGGTAAGAGACAGATGGGTCATTTTGGGAATAAAATATGGTATATCGTCATACTTGTTTTTCTTATTTTAAGTTTGTCGTCTTGAAAACCAATTGCAAAGGCAAAGAAGATGATTAATCAGTGTAGCAATCTAAAATCTATTTACCGGTTGTAAAGGGAGATAACTGTGTAAAAATTTCAATTTTCTGCAAAATATCGAAAAAATTGTTGCAGTAATTATACTAATGTGCTGTTATTTGACAATATTAGGTTGTTATTTGATCATATTGGGTAGTATTTGGTAGTATTTGATGAGTATTTGGTAGTATTGGGTTATTATTGGCTTTTTTGGGGTGGTATAGGGAGGCAAATGAAACAGCCAGATATCGGTATCGAATTTGAAGTACATTTCTCTCGATATAACTCTCTATTTTTGAAAAAAATCAAATGATATGTCTATTTTGCATCATAATGTTGTAGTATTGGGTAGTATGTGGTAGTGTTAAAAATCGGATCGAGATTTGTGATCCGAATACTTTTGTTTGCTATCCGAATACTATTCAGATAATTCGGAAACGTGAAATATTTGAACAAAATCACATCAAAAGTTCATATACTCATAATTTCTTACTTATTTCAATGTTTATGAGTGGCTGTGTATGCTGAGTGTGAAATGAATATTTTTTTATTCAGACTACTGTTTTCGTTGCACTGCATTAATATCTTTATTAGTTAATTAATATCTAAATAATATGCGTGATATTAACATTTATGCTCAAAGCTGCGTACGTGATCAATAGCATTGGGGATAATTTCAAAGTAATCAGATGTAAAAATGGCTAAATATAGAGCATACGGAATGTCAGAAGACTGTAACGGACAGTAAAATGATTCGGATAACCCTTATTTTGTATCCGTTAATGGATATCCGAATAGTAGTTTCAACCCTAGTATGTGGTGATATTGAGGTGGTATTGGGGTGGTACTGGGTAGTTTTGGGTAGTATTGGGTAAATCAAATCGTCCCACCCCCATAATTCAGGAAGTTACGATCCGATATGCGCGAATATCGAAAGGAACCAAGATCTTTGGGTTATAAATTTACATTTCAAGTTTCAACAAAATCGGATAAAAATTGTGACCTCTATAGGGTCCACAAGCTAAAAAGGTGATTTTTCGTACAATAGGGGCCATAATCCATGAAGTTTCGGTCCGTTACGTGCCAATATCGAAAGCAACCAAGATCTTTTGGAGATAAACCTATATTTCAAGTTTCGTCAAAATCAGATAAGAATTGTGACCTGTAGAGTGTCCACAAACAATTGTGGACGGACGTCTGGACGTACAAGAGCGACGGCAATATATGTCCACATGAAAATGTGGGCGTATAAAAATTTGAAGGTAGAAGAAGGTTATTTCTATTTTATGTGTTACAATTTCTATTTCTATCTGCCTGTTTAAATTTCAAAGAGAAAAACAATTTTTAAGTAATTAAACAAAAATATTTTCCTATTAAAAGAAATATTTTACTTCATAAAAAAATAATATTACACCTAAATTAACACAAATTACAGTTTATTTTATGGAGTAATAGAGGAAAGCAAAGAAAGATTTTATTTTAGTAAAATATAAATAGTTGAAACTCAAATTGTAAAATTAAAATAATGTTTTGGCAAGCTATGCTGTACTATTAGCTGATTGTTAGTATGTGAGTCTATATAGCTACACAGCACCCAAAACATTGTATATATATTAAATCTAACTATTATTCTCAAATGTTACAGATACAAATAATATCAATCAATAACTAAATATTAAAAGGGAAGAGGTTGAATCTAGATTAATAGGGAACTTTATCATTCCATATGAAATTTTTGCAATTTCTGTAACTGCCTCTGTCTAAATATTCACTAAAACTGGCTGCTGCCTTCAAATTGTAGCACTTGTCCTTACAAAGAACAATAATTGTTAATATATTAATACAAACCAACTCTCCAGTATAATGACTTTCTGTGAAACTAAATTACTACTTTTCATATCTTATATCTTCAAGCTCATAGTTCTTGTTTTATTCATACTCCTTATAACGGTTAACGCACAACAATTTTTCTCAATAAATTAAGCAGATTTCTATCAAATAAAATCTTACTTCTGTTTGATCTGGACTAGGCCTGGGACTACTTGGGGTATTTGGTAATTTCCTTTTTACCTGAAATAGAACCAAAAAAGCAACATTGAACTGATCAATTAAAGAAATATTTTACATCAGTTGAAGTGTGGGTGTGTGGGTGTGTGTGTGGGTGTAAGGTGAAAATATGGTATTATGTAAATGATTTGTGGGGTGGGCCCATGGTCAGTAACAATATGAGATAACATTATAGGCCTGGGACTGTACAGTGCAGTAGGACACTCTTACGAATGGCCTCTGGATCCATTCACCTGATTTGAAATATACACGTCAGATCTAAATATTAAGACCACCTGCAGATTTCCTCTAGGTCACAAGATGTAAACATGGTTAGGGCATGTGACTGTTGCCGAAGCTCGTGGGTTAGGGTTGGGTTAGCCCTAGTCTTGTTTACATCTCGTGACATGATAAAATCTGCAGGTGGCCTTAATATTTAGATCAAACCAAATATATACATTTGTTGTGTCATTTGTCTATCTTATCCACAGGATTGTCTTTGGATTATGTTTGTGTGTGATGCAGTTACTATTCTGCTATCAGAAGAAAAAGTTCCAACTAGAATCTCCTTTCAGAATCCCCATAGCCAACCCCATCCCCAATTTCCTGCCGAGTACACATCACTGTTCTTTTACAGACATGTACCAGTCTTATTTAATATGAAATAAATGAATCATTACCTCATCTGTAAGGGATTTTGAATTCTCGGAAGATCTGAATAAGAAAATGAAAAGGTGTAGTCATCACTTTCCCAGCTTATAAACCTAGTTACTTCATCTAGTTAGTATAAATACAAAATCACATTCAATTCAATACAGAAAAGCCAATACATGATGCCAGGCAACGAATACACATATAACTTTAGCTGCTAGAGTGTTCATAAGAACTTTCAAAGTAAACAAAGACAATAATAAATAAAGTAATTATTATAAAAAATCTACAGGATATTCCATCTTTCAAACATAAATAATGTATATAAATTTTTAAGTCAATAAGATGATTACTTTAGCAGCTATAGTGTCCACTAGATATTTCACGGACAGTAACTTTAATAGTAATAATAGGAATCATTTCAAAATCAAAAACCTTCTTCGACCCATGAACATAACACTTTGCATAAATTTTAAATCAGCCTGTAGCTTGTAGACAAATGCTTGTGGAAAGTTGCAATATACCTGGGTTTTCTAGGCTTAATCTGTGGTTTTACAGGTTCGGGACTAGCAGTACTCTCTGTAATATCATTATTGATTTCATCATCATCAGAATCAAATGGATTCATTAATTGATTCCGTGTCATTAACACTGATTTATCTGGTGAATCAGGATCACTTTTAGGCGGACTTGGTGCTTTCTTTTTTTTCCTTTCTATCACAGTTTTAACATTACCACTGGTGTGTATGTGTTTATCTGCCCTTTTCTTGTATCTTGGTTCAGGTGAAGTTTCACAACTATCAGAATCAGTAAAAGTATCATTGGGACTTAAACCTAAACATTCATTATTGGTATGAGATTGTTTGCTGGTTACTACTGGTGTTTTTATTTTCAATGATCTTGGGGATGTAGGTGATTTAAGGGATTTATCATCTGCTGTGCTTCCATACATTTCTTCACTTATTCTTTCATCGGACTGATGATCATGATCCCCAAGAGTATAAGTTGATTCACTGGTACTGGCACCCAGTTGTTGAACCTCTAGTGTCTGACCAGTGAAATATGCTCGTAACTGATGTAGATATGTCATTACAATAAGTTTATCAGGCACAGCCAATAATACCATATCTGCTGGTTCAATCAATTTGGGTATACCAAGTTTAGCAGCTGCATCAAATGCCTATAAAATAACCAAATCTTTGACTAATTCAATGAAAAAAGACATATTTTGTCAGAATAACACTCCTGAGTTCAAATATTGTGTATACAAATCCTCACTGCTTTCTGTCTGACTTTGAAGAGTTTAGGTATATTGGTAGGTTTCATTACCAATTGATCTAAAACCAACTTACTTACCAGTTTGTTATTGCCTTTGATGTCATGTGGAGATAATGCTGAGTAGTCACTGAAATGAGGGAAAGTTACGTTTCATTATTTTTCATTTCAAAATAATCTGGTTATACTCAATTTCTAATTAATTTATCTAAATCAATAGTTCGTGAGAAAAAAAAATACATTTTATAAAAGTGATGAAATATATAGAGATTTATCATCTGCTGTGCTTCCACATACAAAGATGGACTACAAGTCTAATCATGTGCAATCTTTTCATTACCTAATCATTTTAATAATTTCTCTGTTATTGTTTTATCTATGAGACACACAACTACTATTCCTGATCATGACAATATATTTAAGCCCTGTATTAGTAAATTCTTGCTAGAAAAAAGATGATTATTCATTATGAATAGTTAACAGTTCTAGCGTATTGATATGCAAATTGATATATTACTTACATGAGATCTGGTCTAAAATGATGAGTTATTGCACAAAATGCTAAACCATTCCTCCATGATGTGGTTAAATTTGTTACTTTCACTCCTTTATAATCTTTCGTTATTTGTTTACACCAATCTAATAAATCTATTGTTGGATCACTGACAGTTTTTACAGGAGATTCCATCTGTACAAATTAAATCATACTAACTGAAATATTCCTGGTAATTTAACTCTTTCACAAATCAGGAAAACAAGTTTTCCTTCATTTAGCTTCATATTCCAAACACAAAACATGAAATTAGATATTGACCAAAAAAATCTTACCTCTTTCATTGAATGGGGAGTAATATCTGCTGTTACATCCATTGTAGACGATCTACTAAAGAAATAAAGTTAACAATTAGTAACAACTCTTTATGTAACCTTTAAAGCATGTAAATAGAAAGCAAACATTCCACTGTCTTATCAGAAGGACCTATATAAATCAAACAAGTTCATTGGCGATGGGAATCTCTGGAAAATATGTATGTTATAGAATAAAATGTGACCAAGGCAAAGATATTCTGATCATTCCAAAAACCTATCTAAGATATTTTCATTCCATTCGCCTTATATAAATGAAATATTACCTATTGTTAGAAGTATTCATAGAAACTTCTATAGCAGGAGGGGTAATAGCTCTAATTTGTGGTTTTTCATCTTCAGGGGTAGAGGGAGGGGTACCTTCATAAATTGGTCGTTCAGCAGGGGAGAGAGATTTAGTCATTTTCAATGTTAATTGTTTTTTGTTTTCTTTGTCCTTCTTACTGGCAAGAGATGCTGGTAGAGTACTGTATTTACTTCTTTCTGGTGTTTTCTCATCTAAAGATTTTAACCCATCACATGATTTAGACATGTGAGAATCTTCAGGCCATTCTTCTTCTCCAGAATCCCCAAAAGGGTTAGCAGGCATGATTTTCTGTGGTGATGGGTTTAAAGATGTTGAGACAGAACTATAGACAGAGGATGTATTGAGGCTAGAAGTTCCTTCTTTAGATTCTTCCTCATCCTCATCATCTGGTTCACCAAATGGATTTGGAGGTGGAGGAGCAGGTTTCGTTTTTCTTGGTTTACATTTTTCAAATACAGTTGAAGAATCATCTAAAAATTTAAAAGATAGGTTGCCAGGCAACAAAACATACACCCACAGCAGCTAAGTTGTCCAGGGAGTCAACAAGGGTTGTCACAAATATTTTTCTTTTGTCAGAAATGAAAACATTTACAAAACACTACGAGTAACAACCCATTTGGCTTCTAGTTCTGCCCTATTCTAACATTTAGCATACAAATCAATTGCCATAATTATTGGAAATTGTTGAAAATTGATAGCCTTCTTCATCTCATGACCTTAAACACTGTATTAAATATAAAGTCAATTGGATATTAACTTTAGCCTCTAAAGCATCTACAAGATTTTTTAGAGTGATCAAGGGCCATAACTATGACAGTGTCAATCCAATATTAACTTTAGCCTCTAAAGGTTCCACAGGCTTCTTCGTCTCATGACCTTAAACACTGTGTATAAATTTCAAGTCAATCGGATATTTAAAAGCGACCAAGGGACATAACTCTCGCAGTAATTATCAGAAATTGCTGAAAATCAATAGGATTCTTTATCTTATTACCTTCAAAGAGATCAAGGGCAGTAATTCTGGAAGTAATTATCAGAAATTGTTGAAAATCAACAATCTCATGAACTTAAACACTGTGTATAAATTTAAAGTCAATCAGATATTAACTTTTGGTCTAGAGCGTCCACAAGATATTTCAAAGTGATCAATGGAAATAACTCTGGCAGCAATTATCAGAAATCAATATTCTTCTTCGCTCATGATCGTAAACATTGTGTTTGGTCAATGATGGGATTTCAAATTTTTCTTGTCAGACACTTTTACCGAAAATAAAGGGACATAACTCTTATCGTTATTTAAGCGGGCAGTTTTACACCACACACAAAAACCATGTAAACAAAATATTCAAATTCGTACATAATAAAAAAAATAGGTGCACCTTGTTATTTTTCATATTCAATTCCTGTACGGTATTCAACTTTATGTCAGTAGTATTCCTACAAAATTATGTGATGTCGTAATACGATAGAATGAAAGCGTGCCGACTATTGCTGACCTGTACCTGTTTCAAATTCCTCCAAAATTATCGTATTTTTCTGGTCATAAGTCGATACACTTTTCAGCAAAAGTCTGGCATTCGTCTTATACTCTGTTAAGTCTGTTTCGACTTATATACGGAAGGTAAAAAAATGACATCCCAAAATTTATTTGGCAGTAAACGTTGCTCTAACACAGCGAGCGAGTGACATCATCTGCTAAATAATCGCATTCGACTCTAGCACACGCTATCGTCTAAAACAATTAACTACTTACACTATTCCGATCAACATATTCGTCAACATTTCCTAGTGTACTTTTTTCTTTATTTAAAAACATAAACCCCATTTAAAATATGATCATAAATCCGAGAATATGCCATCAAAATATAAACTTTCTTCCGATATTAGACGTGTGAAATTTGTCACGTATTCATTTCATAATTTCACGCATCTTGTGAGATTTCTACTTCCGATTCAGTTATTGTACTATAACCGTGTGAGATCAGAAACAGAGCTTGCAATGTCTAAAATTTTTCGGATATGTGTGTGTGTGTGAAATAGCAGACAAGTTATCGGATACAATGTATATTGATTTGGGGTGTCATATACTATTAGGATATGTGACATATATGACTAATTTCTACTTGTTGTCGGCAGACATCAAGGAGATTAAAGCGTCTGATAATGGAGAAATCATGGGTAAGTCACGTAGATTAAGTTTATAATCACACTTATTGAATTGATACATAATCTGACAAAGGAGAAGCAATGACTTCTGTTCAGGATTGGATTGATGAACTGTCCGATAAATGCCATCACTGCCGTACAGTGTCCATAATGGACGTATGGACAGACGTATAAATATGTGTGTATAAAAATGAGTTACAGATTAACGCAAATTTAACATTCATTAAGATATGATAGATAAACAATTTCAAGTGTACAGATATTTTTCTGGAATTAAAAACATATACCAGAGAGAGAGAAATGGGGTTTAACGTCCACTTAACACTAACTAGGTCATTTCGGGACTAACACATGGTTCAATTTTATTTCAATAATTCACTTGCACGTAGGGGTCTTTAGCAGTGGGAGGACACTGGAGGATCTGGAATAAACCCACGAGGTTAGACAGGCTACCCTACTCCTTGTCACGTAGAACCGGGGAATTGAAACCTTGCCAGTTGACTCAATGACAGACCTAATGATACAGCACGCATGTGCTAACAATTCGACAATCCGAGACTTAGCTTCGATCAACCAGTACGGTGGTTGAAATTATTGCACACGTCTGTCAAACCTTCAAAGGCTAATATCTTCGCTTGCAATAGAGTAATTTGAATGAAATTTTCTAAATTATTCATTTTACATCATCTACTTTCGAACTATTGTAGCAAGAATGGCTAGTTCTTTATCTAAATCTTACATAATGTATCTTTAAGATTACTTGGTTATCAATTCATAATTCATACCACAACCAAGTTAAATAAGCCAACAGTAAGTCTAATGTCCACCACATTAACCTCAAAATAGATTCCTCTCATGAATTATTTGTACATTTATTTACTTACAAAGCATCACGGAATTAAAATACTTACCACTCTGCTTATCCTGACCAGAAAATGCTCGTTATAATAAATTAATGAAAATCCATAGGAATCTTCATTACATGATTATAAACACTTTAAAGTCAATTGAATAAACATCCAAAAGACATTTCTAAGAGATCAATGGCTATAACTCTGGCTTTAATTACTGGAAATCGTGGAAAATCAATAAGGTTCTTTGTCTTTTTATGGACCTTATAAGGTCTATGGTCTTATGAACATTAATAATGTGTATCATTTTCATCAATTGTGGACAATGGATCAACAGATGGACAGACAGTGAAGATGACAATCAATTATGTTACCAAACTAAAACTCAATAAATACAATTACTCAAATTCATGCATATTTAAAAGATAATATGCACCAATAAAAAAATTAACTTTTACTTTCCAAAATGAAAACACAGACAAAAAAAGAATATTCTCCAATACGCACATTGTGAAAAGGATGCAAAAACAGAAAAAGCTACATAAAGATTTGATATTCTAAATATGGGTAGATAAGTGAACCACAGAAACAAGTAAGATGTGAACAAATACCAGAAAGATGTGTACAAAGTATTGACAGCCAATAACAGGGTTCCCGCGGCTTCGTCAAACATTTTTGACGAATGAAACCTTGCCAGTTGACTCAATGACAGACCTAATGATACAGCACGCATGTGCTAACAATTCGACAATCCGAGACTTAGCTTCGATCAACCAGTACGGTGGTTGAAATTATTGCACACGTCTGTCAAACCTTCAAAGGCTAATATCTTCGCTTGCAATAGAGTAATTTGAATGAAATTTTCTAAATTATTCATTTTACATCATCTACTTTCGAACTATTGTAGCAAGAATGGCTAGTTCTTTATCTAAATCTTACATAATGTATCTTTAAGATTACTTGGTTATCAATTCATAATTCATACCACAACCAAGTTAAATAAGCCAACAGTAAGTCTAATGTCCACCACATTAACCTCAAAATAGATTCCTCTCATGAATTATTTGTACATTTATTTACTTACAAAGCATCACGGAATTAAAATACTTACCACTCTGCTTATCCTGACCAGAAAATGCTCGTTATAATAAATTAATGAAAATCCATAGGAATCTTCATTACATGATTATAAACACTTTAAAGTCAATTGAATAAACATCCAAAAGACATTTCTAAGAGATCAATGGCTATAACTCTGGCTTTAATTACTGGAAATCGTGGAAAATCAATAAGGTTCTTTGTCTTTTTATGGACCTTATAAGGTCTATGGTCTTATGAACATTAATAATGTGTATCATTTTCATCAATTGTGGACAATGGATCAACAGATGGACAGACAGTGAAGATGACAATCAATTATGTTACCAAACTAAAACTCAATAAATACAATTACTCAAATTCATGCATATTTAAAAGATAATATGCACCAATAAAAAAATTAACTTTTACTTTCCAAAATGAAAACACAGACAAAAAAAGAATATTCTCCAATACGCACATTGTGAAAAGGATGCAAAAACAGAAAAAGCTACATAAAGATTTGATATTCTAAATATGGGTAGATAAGTGAACCACAGAAACAAGTAAGATGTGAACAAATACCAGAAAGATGTGTACAAAGTATTGACAGCCAATAACAGGGTTCCCGCGGCTTCGTCAAACATTTTTTCAAGGTTATTCAAGGATAAATATACGTCAAATTCAAGGACTTTCAAGGACTTTTTTTTACCCTAAAGTTACAATTTTTCATCTTAAAAATAACCAAAACATTACCAACTATCGTTATAATCTCATATTTAAAAGGAATTGAAGACATAAATTGTTTTTTTATTATTACAGATCGACTTTCGGCACACCGGAAAAACTCCCGCCATTTTTAAAACAGAGTTATTTCCCTTTTCGCTCGGACCACAGTTAACTGATTAAACTAAAGTACGAATAAAAAGTAGTACAGTTTATTGACGTTAATTTGCCGATTATTAATATGTTTATTATTGTTTTAATATATATAGTTTTTCAAGTTTAGCTATTTGTTCGTCTATTTCCGTAATTTCTGTCTTTTTGGCTCTTGCTGCCCTGCGAAGGGCGTTCGACTCAATAAAAGTTTCTTGATGTCACAGCTTTTTTCCGCATTATCTGCCTTCTCGTCCGCCGAAGCTTCCAGCGTAATAATGTCATTTTCGAGGCATTTATTTTTCTTTTTACAGTCAGTAAGTTCATCTCCAATATATTTTCGTTTTGAATCTACTGTTGACTTAGCATCCTCTTTCTTTTGGTCATCCAGGTATTGTCTGTATTTTATTCGAGCTGCACTAGCATATTGAAGGCACTGGGGCGTAACTTCAAATTTGTCCACTCCGCCAATTAAATGTACATGATGCACAATATGCCTT